AGATCAGTGGTGACAATTTTGTCTTCAATTTCACTGATTATGTGTTCCATCTCATCAACTCTGCTCATATGTCCCTCCATCATGTTGACAGCCTCTAAAACATTGGTCCTTATATTTTGAATGATGGATTCTTGTTTTTTCAGTGCTGCTAATGCCTGATTTGTTTTCTCTGCAGTGTTCTGCATTGGTTGTTTGAGCTCCTCCTGGTCTTTGCTTCTAGTATCCTGTAATTCATCAAGTTTGTCTTTCTTCCATTGGATAGATTCAGTCACTCCTCTTTTCAATTCTTTGTCAGAAAGTTCCATGAGACTTTCTGGGTTCAGGGAATCTACTGCTACTGTGTCACCCTTTGTGAGTGACATCTTGCTTTGCTCTTGTGTATTGTGTGGGATAGTTTGCTTTCTTCGAGACATTGATATGTTCTTGATCTGAAGACAATGCTCCTGAGATCAGTTGGGCAGCTACTGACTTTGTGCTTTTCTCTGAATTTCTGACTTCAGGGAAATGTCAGTTCAGAGCCTGCTAGGGCAATCTCTTGTTGGTAAGACAGGTCAAGGTCCTCCCGATTAAAGGCAAGTTGATTGCCCAGACGTGTAGGCGCTGGTGTGGAGTCAAATGGGGTGAGGCAATCAAAGGGTTGGGGGTGATTGTAAGGGCAGGTCAAACACTTGGGGGACTTTGCTCAAACCTCTGCTGTCTCCGTGTGCTCACGATTGGCGTCCCTACTCTAATTCCTGCTGTCTGTTTCCTACCCAATGGATTTGGCAGTGTTCCCTGCTTGGTGGCACTTACGCAGGTGCCCTCACACAATAGCCCCTGCTCCAGCGGAGTCCTGGATCTGACAGGATCCGAAGTCAAAGGTGAAATTCCCACCGACCCATTAGCCTCTGGCTGGTCTGCAGAGTATACAGAGGCCAGCTGGCTGGCTCATTTTGGGCAGTTGGTGTAGCTCAAGGGAGCCCTGCCCAAATTCACCACCAGTGGGCATGCCTTTATGTGCTCTCCCAGGTAATCAGCAATGCCCCAGTAAACCCAGCCAAGATCCTATCGACCTTTCTCCTGCCAGGTTAGTTCCACAGCAGCTTGGCTGATAGCTCCTGTTGATGGCTGGATCCGGGGTGGTTCCCTGAGGCCACAGGGCTGTGCTGGGGCCTGAGGTGTGTGGTGTGGGGCTGCAAGAGGCGCCCGGGGAAGGGGGGAAGCAAGGGACTAGGGGGGCAAAGGACCACAGGGCTTGGACACTACCACCAAGAGGTAGGGGGCGGAGCTTGGGCGTTGCTGGGGGTTTATGTAGCAGCACCCTGTGTGGTGGGGAGTCTGGGGGTCACGCAGGCGCAGGCTGCAGGGGGGTGTCACACAGTGGCTGATAGTTGTCGCTCCTCTGGGGTCACATGGTGTTCGCTCCTTTGGAGTTCCGCAGTGGCTGGCAGACTGTTGCTCTTCCCTGATCTTTTTGCAGGCTCAGGTGTCAGGGCTGGCGCAGGCGTTGCGGCTTCAGATTTTTTTTTTTTCTTCTATTTTTTTTTTTCTTACCCAGCAGTATTCCAGCAATGATCTTTTTTAGATTTCATGTGCTTGACTTTTTCTTTAATTATCCTGGTACTTATTTCTAATTTTATACCAGTGTGATCTGATAAAATGTTTTGCAGTATTGGTGGATTTTAATTTATTGAGGCTTGTTTTATAATCTTATATATAGCCTATTCTTGAGAATGTTCTTTGCTTACTGGGGAAGATTATATATTTTATCTTGTTGGGTAGGATGTTCTTTGTGTGTTTATATTGTCAAGTTTATGAAAATAACATTTTCCTAGATGCTTGAATATTTAGTTTCTAGTTTCTCTGTCCTTCATTGAAAGTGCTGTCTTTTACTACTATTGCAGAATTGCCTATTTACATCTGTTAAAATTTAATTTATGTATTTTTTTTTTTCAGAAACAGCCAATAGGATTTTAATGACAGGGCAGGGTCTGGGGTTAGTTCTTGTAGCCGTGGCTCGCTCTTCGGCCTCGGGCACGCTCGAACTTCCGGCCCTTGGAGCGGACGTAGGGTTTGGTGTGGCTGTGTGGGGTGCCCGGGGCCTTGCCAAAGTGCCTGTACACCTCGCGGCCCTTGCGTGGCCCGGACAGCAGCACGGTGCCACAGCCCTTGGGCGAGTCCAGGGCCAGCTGGTCGAAGGTGAGGATCTTGCCTCCAGCCTTGAGGATGCGGCTTCGGGCCTGGCTGCTCATGCGCAGAGCACACACCTTCAGCTTATGTATTTTGAGGCTCTTTCACTGACTGGATAGATTTAATTACAGTTATATCTTATCGTTCAGTTTAACAGTATATAATATACTACTTCTTTGTCCCTTTTCCTAGTTTTCTTGTTTAAGTCTGTTTTATCAGAAATATTGCTGGTTCTGCTCTTTTTTGATTGCCATTCATTTTTATATTGTATCATACTCTTTAATTTTTAGTTTGTCTTCTTAATTCGCTTTTGAAGATAACTTCATTTCCTCCAAACTGCTTTCACTATTCTTTCTTCACCTCTGATTTCAGAAGATTAGATTATGAGATATCTTGGTGTTTTTCTATTGCAATATTTTCTGTTTGGAGTTTGCTTATCTTCTTGAATATGTTTTCTGATTTTTCATAGTATTTGGGAAGTTTTCTTTTAGGAAATCTTATTTTGTCTGTGCTTTCCCCCCCTTCCCCCCCTTTTTCTTTGGTGAGGAGAGTTTTCTTATTTTCTAAATTTACAGTCTCATCTAAGCTATTTCTTTTGATGGCATCCCACAATTCATATGCTTTTCTTATATCTTACTTTTTTCTAATTGTTACTTTGACAGATTAATATTGGAGAATTTTCTTCTTCTCACTTTTTTAGTGTTCCATTGATTCAATTCTGGTTGCTGGTCCTTTCTTTTTGCTACCTTTTTTTTTTTAAATATATGTTCCATTTTTCTGAATTTTAATTTATTAATTTTCTATGGCTAATAATTTTTCACTTCTTCATTTAGACTTGTATTTTTTCAAAAGCCTTCTATATTGCCTATGTTCTTTTCAATTTATTGTCCAACTTTTACATGTATGTAAAGTAATTTAAAAATACCATGATTGCCCTAGCAAACTTTAGTCTTCAAAATAAATTTCCTTGCTCATTAGTAGTTTAATATCTTTGCAGCAGAAATTATCAGATTGGCTAATGAAGAAGTCCATTTGATTTCATGAGTGCTGCTTGCATTGTACATCCAAATAAAATGAATTCTTAAATGTTCATACTATTTTTTCTCTTTAATTGTACATATATTCTGATCTTTATGTTTTGCATAGTAAAACATGTAGTATTATATTTAACTTGACAGTTTCAAAATTATAGGAATGCATTGCATTTACTTACTGAAGCTCCCTCCCTTTTCTTTCCAGAGTAATCTTTGAAGTAAAAATTATTATCCTTGTAGTAAAAATCAATATTTTAAAGTTCTTGCTAATTTGACAGCTTTGATAGACATTATTATATTTGGAATTTATCTTAAAACTGAGGAGATGAAAATTTTAAAGCCTTGAAATTAAAAAGAAATCACTAACCATTGTTTGTTTTTTATTTAGTCCATTACGATGATTAGGAAGAAAATTATTCATTTTACTGGCTCTGATCAGCACAAACAAGCAAATGCTGCCTTCCTTGTGGGATGTTATATGGTAAGTTCTTTACTTTACAAATGTATTAGTAAAAATGTGTGCAACTGTAGTACTTTAAGTTTATGGTTAGAATTATAAAGTTACTTCTCCTAAAATAGTGTTTTTGTGTCTTTCCAGAAGAATATGCCTTTTGGGGGGGAAATAGAGCTACTTCTTTTCAGAAGTTTCTGTTATATGTAATGCCTTTCAAAACAATGTGTTATTGGCTAACAATTCATTTAGAGAATTGTTGAATAATTTGAGTAGTATCAAACCTACTGATTTAAGAAAAGAAAACAATGGAATAGATGATATTACATAACTAAAGAGTGCTTTATAATTTCAATGCTGGCAATTTTTTTCCTAGCTAAAGTGTAGTTCTAAGGGAATCTCCATCTAGCAGCACATTGTAGAAAATGGCGTTGTAGAAAAATGGGTTACATATTGTGTAAAATATTTACAAATAAAATGGTCTATGATTTTTAAAGGGTAAAATTTGTTTGCCATCTGGTGTTTTTATCAGTTTTTCCTGAATAAGCTAATGAGAGTGACTCCAGGGTGGGATCTCACTATGTTTTTTTGGTAATAAAGTTAACTACTCTGTTTAGTGGAACAGAATAGCTAGTTGATGCTTCTTCCCAGACTCTCAGCCATATGCACAATAGTGGTTTTTCTATTCTCTTGCCACCACAAAGATAATAATAAAAGCAGAATTGCTTTATAGTATTAAAAATAAGTTCTTTTTCCTATTTGCTACCTATATCTATTATGCCTTCCCTCTTTGAAATTAACTGGTACTCTATAGTTTGATAATCTAGAATTTATAATGGTTATGGCAGTTTGGTGAAATTACATCTCAAAATGTAATAATTTTCCCCCACTTAAGATATATCAGTAACAGTGACTAAAACCTTTTTGATTTTGTTTTCTTATTTGTGCTAATGAACTATTTGATAGAAATGCTTCTGTGCTTCAATAAATGAGGAGAAACAGCTGCAAGAATCCATTAAAAATTGGAACATAAAAAAAATAAAAATTGGAACATGGAATGTGTGAATTTAAGAAAATTGGAAACTGTCAAAAAAGGAAATGGAATACACAGAAATCATCTTTCTAGCCCTTAGTGAGCTACAGTAAACTAGTATTGGCCATTTGGTATCAGACAACCATGTGAACAATTTTGCCAAGAATGACCAATTTCATAGGAATGATGTATAACATTCATAGTCAAAAAGAACATTTCAAGAACTATCTTGAGGTGCTGTGAGTAATATGATACTATTCATGCTCTTTCAAGGAAGACTTGTGATTATAACTATTATTCAGTGGCCCTTTCCCCATTTGATAGGTTTTGTTTCCTTATCAAATACCAATTGAGGTAATGATATAGTGATATAGGTAGACGAGTTGATTTCTGGGTTCTATTCCATTGGTCTGTGTGTGTATCTGT